CTGATTGTACAGATATCCCAGAATACAATAAACAACTGTCCTACAGTTATTTTGAAGATGTGTGCTTTAGAGATTATGAATGATGTACTGAATTTTGCCAAAACTGATTAACTATTTCCAAAATATTTAACTTTTTACATTCTGCATCAATGTATATTGTGTTGATAGGTTTACAATTTATGATGAAAAATTTGCTATGTTCTTTTCATCTGTTTATGGTTGCATTACATGATAATATTTTCACCTGTCCTGTTTATGTAAGTTTAAAAAACAGCAAAATGGTCATTTAAATGAAATTTATAATGAAACAAGATGCAAACAACTATTAAATGTAAATACATTGTTTAGTCCTTATAAAGTGTCTACCTGGTGCTTCTTGGCACTTGTATTTATTAAATGGAACATCTCTTTGTCACTGTTCAGCAATAATCTGCAAGCATTGACAGGCTCCATTTGCCATGAGAGAGTTTCTTCATTGTTGCAATGTCCTGGTGAAATTGCTTGCCCTGTGTGTACTCACTGCTCATCAGTTTAGGGGAGGGGTCTAGATGAGAGTGCAAAAAGATGTATCTTTAGTGACATGTTGCAACAAAGGCTTTTGTATGCCTTGAGGAGGTTTTCCACGAACTCCCACTAGATGTCTGCCTTGTAGTTTCTTAGAAAATTTGTTGCCACTAACTGGAAGACTTTTGATGCTGTCTTTTCCTTGCCACGCAATGCAGTCAAATGCATTATCTCAAAGAAGTTCACAAAACTGAGGACCAACAAAGAAACCTTTAATTATTTTAGCTTCACTTAAGCTTGGAAATTTTCCACTGATGTACTTGAAAGCTGCTTGTGTTTTAAACATGATCTTGACAGAGTTCTTCATCAGACACAGCTTGATGTGCAGGGGTGGTAACAAAATCGTCCTTGAGTCAAGTTATGGATGCTGAACACTTTTCCTCCCAGACTGATGTTCGTCATAGTTTATGCACCTCAAAAGTTGTTTCATGTTTTCACCTGTTTCCTTCATATGGACTGCATGACCAGCTGGAATTGATGACAAAACATTTGTCATTATGCAGCAAAACAGATTTAAGACTTCGATGCACAGTCTCAACTCGTCCAGGTCATGAATGATGTTGAGGGCTGCCATAACACCATCAGTGTTACAGGCTGCAAGATCACCTTTCATGAAGAATGGAACAAGATCCATTTGACTTTCATGGAACATGAAAAACCTTACATTACCTTGCATTCTATTCCACTGCTATCCAACAGCTCTTCATTACGCTTGGTTAGTTTCAATTCCCAACAGGGTCATTTTCAGTTCACTTTGTTATGAGGTGTGGTACAGAGGAGGATGGGAGAAAATAGGGCTCATGTAATATTGATGGTTCAGGACTAGAAGTTTCATCCTCTACCTCATCTGCCTCAAGTGAGAATGATTTTGAGGCATCAGGAACCGGCAGTCCTCTGTCTGGTACTGGTTGTATAGCTAATGGATTGTTTGGATAATGCACAGTCCACTTTTGCTTCTTTGATACATGTTTCCCATCTGGAGGCATCATGCAGAAGTAAGAATTGCTGATATGATCTGTTGGCTGTCCCCAAATCGTTGCACTGCAAAAGGCATGGATTGCCTTTTTCTGTTCAACAATGGATACAGATTTGTTTCACAAGTGTTGCAGCATATGTGTGGGGCCTACCTTTTGTCCTGATCGTCAATTTTGCAGCCAAAGTGAAAGTAATAGGATTTCTTAACCATATTGGTTATACTGGGCTTTTGTGATGCAAAAGTTATATGCATTGTCCACTTTGGCTGAACAGAAATTTGTCCCTTTGCAACATCAGACCTTGACAAATTAGAGAGCATGTCACTGTGTCAATTCTAGAACTGATATAGGTCAGTTTATTCAGAAGAGTGATGTAAACTTAATTTTGATTGCACCATCCATGACTTCTAGGAATTACATGATGCAATTTATATAGTGTATTATGCAATACCAGCTTCAGATTGCATCATTCACTTTTTTGCCTAAAAAGCATGTACTGTCCAAACCAAGTCAAAGATTTATTCATAGATCCAGTCAAAGATGTATTTTAGTCATTTCTGGTTTAAATTAATCACTAATCCTCCACCATTCCCAAGTCAAGGGTCATATATACTGATCCAATATCATATCTTTAAAACTAGAGCCAATCAACAATTTTAAGCATCATTTTCGTTGTCATTGACCAAGAATTAGTAGTGGGGACCCCAAGTTGCCGAGTGGTCTAAAGTGCTGTCCATCTCACCTTTGTCTGCGTGTGTTCGAGTCTAGGATTCGGCGAATGTGGATATGTGAGAAAGCTTGCCACTAGCTTCGTGAGTCGTTGGTTCTTTCCGGTGATTTCCTGGTTTCTTCCTCCACGTGGCCGCCATGAATAGCCTATCGTGTGCTGAAAAATGGCGTTAAGCCCAACAACAACAACAACAACAACCAAGAATTAGTAAAGTTTGCATTTATTTTGGAAACATTTTGGCTGTTGTAATTTTTGAAAATGAAGATGAACTTTCAATTTAGCTATGACCACTAGCAATCACAAATGAAGGTCATGTTATTTGTAGTGTACATCAATGATGAAGTATAATGAATATAACATAATGATTCTAATATTTCTTTTTTTTTTCAAATATTTGAGCTAGAATATAATGTGGCATTGTAAATTGACATGATACAAAAAATAGACGTGAACTATGAAATTTGAGGGCATTAGAATAACTGAGTGAGTGATCTACAACATTCACCATTACCAATCACTCCCATTGCATCTCGCTCCACATGACTTCTTGTCTTGTCTTGGGTTTGGTCAATGTGGGTCTGAAAAATCTTGCCATTTGGTGGTTCTCAAGTTTTCTGGGGTTCATCCTCCAGTTGTACTGACTGCTATGTGTAGGCTATCTTGCCTTTAGAAATGGCATTAAATCCCCAAAATAACAAACCTATGCAATATCAATTACAAACACCATAGTATTTAGAGCACACATGCATGAAGAAGTACATAGAGTATAATGACATGTTATTTATATTGAACTTAATGCTCACAGAAATACATGTTATGCTAGAAAATTTCTACTATAACTTTATCCATGAACTTAGAAAGTGACAATGTTTGAGTGTAAGAAAATTTTTATATAGGCAGAATTATTATACAATGTTCTGACAGCTGTGATCAATCAATGGCTGTTCCTGTTGTCGGTGAAGTAATTTTTGTTAAAAAGGTTACTTTTATTCACTTTTTCATGAATCGAAAACCAGGCACCAGTCAAGGAGTGGCATTCTTACTTTGAAGTTGGCTTCTACTCATTACCTTCCTGCCTCAAGTCAACAAAGGTCAGTCAGGAAGTATGCAACACTGATTGGTGCCTTGGATGCCAAGTTCTTGTTTTTTGGACCTGTGTTTAAAAATAAAAATTAACTGCCAAATGAAACAATTTTTTTTCTTCGTTTGTTTGGTCAAAAAACAAAAAAAACCAAACTCTCGAAAACTATTATTTAATATGAGTAATAAAGCAACTTCTGTTATTGTGTTACTTTTCCAGGACTAGGGTCTCCAGTCCAAGCAGATTATTTCCTCCTACATTTAGTATTAGAGGGCCAGAATTGAAAAGAATATGATTCCAGTCTAACTCCCTAGTCGTGACCAATATATGGAATAACTTCTCTTAATTCCTTCGACGACATGCATGTATATATATATATATGCAATATGGCTCATAATTTCAGTTTGTCTTTGTCTTTCTTGCATTTCACCTCCCTTTTTGTATTCAGCATTTGTCTACTCTACATTGCTTTAGTTTTGTTGTATGCCTTGTTTTTGTGTGGGTGCACCTTGCTTAGTTTCTGCTCTTAGTTGCAAAAGAGATTCTGTCAGGCAAACAGATTCCTCAAAATTTGTATAACTTCATGCATTTGGAGAGCAAATAATGAGTGAAAACTCCTGGAGATTAGTTTAAGGATGCACATGTAGGTGTTTGGGGTTGGAAAAAGATAAAAGTTAAACCACAGGAGTCTGCAGTTTTATCAATAAAGCAACTAACTTTCTGATAACATGAAATCACCTTAACAGTATTTTAATACTGTTAAGGTGATTTCATGTCAGAAATTTTGTCCTGCATTAGTGATAAAACTGCAGACAGAGGTGAGATGGCAGTGATCCATAACAATGAGCATCAGTCTACCATGCTGCTAATGTGAAAATCTCAATATTGCCGAAGAATATCAAAGCTGGTTTCAATCCTCCACATTTAAAAGAAACAAAAATGGCCATCTTTTTGAATTCCTAGAAATTTTTTTTAGGCAGTTGAGCATTTGTTCCATTTCATCTTGCACCTTAAAAACAAATAACCAGACTATCATCTCACAGCAATCCAAGCCTCCAGATTTCCATTATGGTTGCCAACAGGTGGGAAAAAATTCCATTCAAGCAGAATATTGCAAAAAGGAATCAAATATACAGACTTCAATAAGCATTGCAAAATGAATTCATGAGCAAAATTTTAACATTTTTTAAACTGACCAATTGGATAGTTGCTTATTTCTTGTCCTGTACGCACTTTATTAGGTACACTTTAAACAAAACATTTAGCAGATAACATTTTATTTTACAGCATGATCCAGTTTTGATAATTAGACTGCATGTTCCTATATTAAATTGTCATCCATATGTCTGGTCTGGCTTTTCAGCCAGTAAGTAACTAATACATGACCCGCACCAGTCAGTCTTAAGTAATGGCACACAGCTGGTGAACCAAACATGGAGGCAAATGCCGGAAATTCACTAATAAATTATGCAGTTAAATTGATGACTGCAATATGACTATGGCTTTATTATATCTGAAGCAAAAGAAATAATGTTTCTTGTCAGTCAAATGTAAAAATAATCAAAAAAATGATTTGTATATCTATTTGAACTGGTTTAGCCCAGTACTTGAAGTATTTACTAATCATATTAATATATATTATGTTTTAAAAGACCGCTCTGATGGTCCATTGGTTAGAACATCCACCTTGGATGCAGGAGGTCATGGGTTTGATCCCCAGCTGAGTCGTACCAATGACTTATACTAATGTCAGATAGACTCAGATGCCAATCTCCCATTACTGCTCTAGTGGTTAGAAATCCCGCCTTGGATGCGGGAAGTTGTGGGTTCAATCCACGGTCAAGTCATACCAAAGACTGACAAAAATTGTCTGGCCTGGTGTCAGGATAATTTGACTGGTGGGACATCAAGCTACATGATGCATGTCTGTGGCATGATGCCCCAGTGATAGACATCACTATAAACTGCCCCACTGCAGACATCATAGTGATATAACTGAAAAAAATTATTAAAGCTACGTTAAAAATCATAATAACATCACATCCAATCTACCAGCACATATAGCCATAGTATGGCTGCTATGGTGGCCATCTTCAGAATCTTGCTATTGTTTCTTCTCATTAATTGTAAGCCATATCAAGATGGGATTTCCACCAGAAAATATCTTACATGCCTTGTTGGTTCCGAATGAAAATGGTGCCATTCTGATATCCGCTGCATCATATTTGAAAATCTTATTATTACTGAAGAATATCTTGGATGGTTTCAGCACTTTTCAGTTTAAAGTAAGAAATGGTCCTGAAAATTCTCTTTGTACAGCAAAGTGTTGGCCGCATCAGGAAACTTTAATTTTAATAAGCAATCATCAAAAGAAAATGAAGGTCAAGATCATTTTAAGGTCAGGCAATATGAAACAAAATTTTTTAGAGAGCTAAATTTGTGACTTTTACAGGCTAGCAAGAGGCTGAATCAGACATTGGATCTTGTTAATTTTTTTCTTCAGAAATATAGGTATACTATTTATACATTATCTTTTATCATTACTGTCAAGTGAAACATAACGCCGTCACATTTTGTAATTTTATATCATTTTTTTTCCTCACCATTGATTTCTGTTATCTATATCCGAGGTAACCAAATTATTTGGTCCTTGTAACCTAAAGTTTGAAATGCTTAATAAAATTTTCAGGTGTGTTGCCCAATAGCTATAAAATTTTGATAGGCAGTGTTCAGTCAAGGTTCCATTTTTTTCCAGTGGTGCAAGAAATTTGTCAGTGTTCTACTTAATAATGAAAGATGCATCCATATGGCACAGTGTAAAAATATTTTGCAATTTTTTCATATCTGGTTGTGATAAGTGTTTGACTTCAGAACTGATGGTTCTGTTAGACTGGTTACACTGAAAAATTATGCTACTTAAACCATAATGGATATAGTGATAAAAATGATAATCATTTGGATGGGCATAACAGAGTTGAAGGAAAATAACAAATTTAAATGCTCTGTGCTAAGCATTTTTATGCATCTATCAACAAATGTATTTTCATAGCATGTTTTTAAAACCATTGTCAGTAATGTAAAAACACATAATCAGTTGAATCTTGCAGTCATATGGGTACATTCATGCAATTTGTACTCGTGTTTCTTGATACTCCATAGTTGAATCCAAGTTCATGTTCCAGCAGAAAAACATCTTGATGCCAGTCTGTTAAGTATTGCCACTGTTAAACCCATTAAAACAACTTCCTCTCCCATTAAAACAACTTTCTCTTAAAAACTGCTGAGCAGGGTTTCACCAAATGTGATTGAATGCATTCTTTTAAATCTCTTTGTATTTATTTATGTCATCAATTGTTGCTGTTTTACAAAAAAAGGAAAGTCTTGGGATGTCGGAATAATATTAATCCCATTTTTTTTACCAGTGGCTCTTTTTATTTAGCTGTTGATAGGTGTCTGATAGGCGAGCAGTCCACTTTATTTAGCTTCAATTTTGTCCGATGTATTGAACTTTCTGTCTAATCATGTTTCAGCACCTCATATGGATCCAGCAGTGGTGGCAGCCCATCCAATGCGGACAACATCCCCCCTGCCCCCACATTCAACTTCATCACAGACTCCTGATATAAGCAAAATTTCACATTCACAGAGCAGTTTCACAACCGGTTATCGTGACCAGCAACAATTAATCAGTGAAAACCCATCAGCAGATCAAACAGCTGCATCTTTACTTGCAGTAGTGGCAGCAGCAAAGCAACAAGTAGCAACTTCAGTTCAGCAGGACTATTCTGGTTCTAGTTTCGGACAGACTCATCATTCACAATCATTACAGCAAAGTGACAGACTGTTTTCTGTGCAGGACTCAAATTCCATGCTTGGACAGAGTGTCAGTGATGGAACAATGTCCCAATTTGAAATGCCACCCTCCATTCCAATGCCACCAAGTCATAATCAAACACAGGTGGGCTTATATTGTGTGCATGTGAATCATGATTGTGGAAGTGTATTTCGGAGGAATAAGGGATGTATTCATGGAGTTCTGCAGGCATATTAAAGGTTTTTGAGTATGAATGATGTAAATGTCTTGATTTATGAATTAGTCTAATACGGCAACTTGTTTGGCAATATGAATATGTTCCTTCGTTGTTCAACAGTGGGTTTTCAAGCAGCCTCCATTATTGAAAGTGGGTGTTGAAATGGCTTGTGTACACATGCTTGCATACATAAATTTAAACAGCAGGATAGGTTTACAACTTCAGAAACCACACTAGCATGTTGCCTGTAAATGGGTTTGTGCAGTTTGTTAGGAGTAATTAGTAGACCAAACAACGTAGACCCTGATCTGTAGATGCATTGTGCTGTGACATATCAAGATCTATGTTGTTTGCAATTTGACTCAACTTTTAAGCGAGTATGTATGGTATGTGTGTTTATATTATATGCTTATATGCATTGGGGTATTATTGGATGAATTTTAAATGGAATGCAGTAATAAGACTTGAAATTAAGTTTTTCCTGCCAAATTGAATTAACGCCAGCAAATAACCTCAGTTACTATTTTGCAGCATCCATTTTAGGGGCCCCGTGTGGTCTAAAGCGCTGTCTGTTACGGATCACTGCCATCTCACCTCTGTGTGGGTTCGAGTCTAGTATTCATCGAATGTGGATATGTGAGAAAGCTTGCCATTAGCTTATCATGGGTTAGTGGTTCTTTCTGGTGATTTCCCAGTTTCTTCCTCCACCATTAATACTGGCCGCCATGAATAGCCATGTTAGTTGCATCTTTTTAATCAAATAAAGGAGGTGGAATGAACAAAAATATTTAAAAGGCATAGAAATCCTACATGCTTAAGGACCAGCGGTTCCAGTTGGATATTGGGTAACTCATTTCAGTTGATCAATCAAACACTGTTATAAATGTTATTGTGTGCTGAACAATGGCGTTAAGCCCAACAACAACAACAGCAGCATCCATTTTGAACATGTATCACATGATCATTCTGGGTCTTGCAAAATAGAGGCTCAAAACGGGGTAAAATCTGACACCTGGGTATTGCTAGGCATTTGTATTTTTTTGAAAAATGTTTTAAACCTAAAATACATAATTTAATTGAGCATAAGAAATAAATGAAACAATACAATTTAAACGTCCAATATTTTTATTTTATATTTAGTATAAAAATTGCATAAAAGGGTTTCAAATATTAAATGTACTCTTTTGAAAAGAAATTAAGTTATTGCTGATGTCAACTCTGCCAGAAAGGTGAGTACTATTTAGTTTTCCACTAACCCATGTGCAATAAATCACATTATTTAAGGGTCAAGATAATCTTTCTTTTACATTACTAGTCTATGTTTTATCAAATTGGGACATACATCTTAATTATGTGTATTACGCTCTAGTGTAAAGTATTGATGAAATGTGATCAGACAGCTGAATCTTTTTAAAATGAAATATTCACATAATAACAAACAAGTTGATGAAACGATTTTTTTCATTGGTGAGGGTTAATGTTAAGTATTGACAAATTCATATTTGATTCTTAATTAAAAATAAATTAAAGACATGTTTTCAACTAAGTTTTTGTGGGAATACCAACTAAATCATTTACATTATCAGTTGAAATAGTTTTTGTCGTCTTTACAAGCTTAATTTATTTGAAATTTTAACCAACTAGTTGTACTTATTAACCTACTACAAACATCCAATAATATCCCCTTCATGTGTACCCCTTTTTTGTAATCCAATCAAATGAACTTCAATGCATGGGTCCTAGTAAACAGTCAGTCAAATACAAGAACTGTACAATCAGGGCTGAGCAAATCCCATAGCTCAATGTCCCAGACTAGTAATTTTTGAAGTCAAGTTAAAATTTTCCAAGTTGCTAGTCCCAGACAAGTGCTTCTTTAAAAAAAAAGTCTGGCTAGTCATTATTTTCTTGCTTTAATCATTATATATACCTTTATTTGGCCAATCATGCCCTCCAGGTGTACTGAATAATTGATTCTAGCCACTCTTTGGGTATACATTTACCTCCTGTTACTGCTGGACTGCATATTGGGCTAAGCCCCAAATGATCTGCAAATCAGCAACAAAAAAAAAACACCTTAAACAAAAGAAAGCCAAAAGAAAACACCTCAAACAAAAGATCAACTAGCAGAGTGGTAAATAGTATGTGACTTTCATTTACACATTCAATTAATTTTCCCCACCCCAACATTAGAAATGGTTAATTGTTGATATAACCTGACAATTTGAACTCCTAGCATTAACAATTAATTAATAACAATTTGAACCCTGAAGTCCTTGACCTGTGGGTCACCAGATTTGTGTAGTCATGTGACTCTGAATTAAAATGGGGAGTTCTATATCAAATTTCATCAATGTCAGTGGATTAAAGCTATAATGAATGCTATACTGGCAATATCTGAGAAAATAAATCATATTCCTATCAATTTCATGCACATATATCTTGATGAAAGTTCCTTAAAGTTTGCTAGACCAACTAGTAACTACCCTATGCCAACACCAAATTGTGTCCGCAAATTCCAACTTTTAGATAGGGAATATACTCTTTCTCTACACCCCAACATAAATATCCAAATATCAAAAATGGAGTGGCAAGGGTGAGAGGAAACTCTTGATTTGATTGTAATGAGTGACTCACTATCATTTTAATCCATCGAGTCAGTGTCATTTACTGAGATCAGTGTTGGTTTCCTTTTTGAAC